ATAGTTACTTAGGTATATCGGCTGTCAGAGCCGCAGACGCGGGGCATCGAACATTCGGTATGTCAAGCACTTAGACAAGATTTCAGACGCATTGTTTAAATTATTCCGGGCATTCGGACCGTTTCAAAACTATTTTCAGGGTTGCCATACACCACTTTATTGACTATTTCGAATAGTACAGTCGTGCATATCTAAGTATAGGAGAGAAAGAATGAAACAGAGATCTATATTAAAAAAGTCGCGACAAAAACTCAATATACTGACATTTTTAATAAATCTTTTCTTGTTTCGTGCTTAGAGGGGCACGTATAGTCGACTTTGTATGCAATGTAAGCAGCTTAGAAACTGTTGACAACAGAGGACACTATCCTTACACTAGTAGTAGTACTAGGTGTAAAAAACTACCGAAAGTTGAAGATTCTCAATGCGTCTGTATTTTTTTTTCTCGTTATACATTTTTACGTCACCAAATCAAAACCGATTTTGATTCTTGCAATGGATGGGGTACTCCCGTATTGGTCCCATATTAATTTTGCGATCAATAAAGTTACTTTAAAAGCAAAAAAATTGCTTATGGCGAGGCAATGATAAAGGTACTTCTAGATTCCGAGTTTTCAATTATTCACCACTTTCAATCAATGGTTATTCCGCTTGTGTACCATCCAACTAGAATAAAAAAAAAATACCATATCAATTCTGACCCCAAACAAATATAGGCCAATGTCAGGAAGATAATGAATATCAAACTAAAAAAATATTATTTCACAATGACTGTAAAAGTTTCACAAAGCCACTCTTTATTTTTATAACAAATCGGCGATGACTCAAACATGTTGCTATATGTAAGAACTGACCTTGTTGAGAATGATTCATTCAGTGATTCAGACGACAAAGAAAATACCTATAATTGAACGAGTTTATTAATTTATAATAAAAAAGGGTATTAATAAAATATGGCTCATATTCATAGATTAATAATAATAAATATATATATAAAAGTAAAAATATTTAAAAGCGTCGTGGCCCAGTGATCGTATCAGTATACGATTTGGGTGTATAAGTCATAAATTATTACCGAATATTAGATTGTATATTATATATATATATATAAGAATATTTGTAATTCAAAATAACAAAAATCAGTTAAATAGTAAAATTAAAAAAGTCACTTAATGAAGGTGTTGAATATAATAAATATTAATAAATGGTATACAAAAAGGACCTTTATTTTTTTATATCATTTTCTAGTATCGATGACCTCTATAAATCGGTGTTGAAAATATGTCATTCGATAAATCAATTGGATTCTCGGTTGAGTCAATTTAGGAAAGGAAAATATTTTACATTTACAACCCTCGAATACTAGCAGTTATATGAAACTATGTAGATGCACTTCGTTACTTGGCGTTGCAAATAATCAAACGCCGACCACTGTGACTTCATTCCCAAGTGACACTTGATTGCTGACCATTTTTAATTTCTTGCGATTTTAAAAGTGATTTTTCCTTTTTAATAGCTTTTACCCGCCAGTTCGTTTACATGACCGGTATAAAAGTCAAGTCTATGTTCTTCTCCATCGCATATAGTATATAATAATAGTTTCAATATTTTGAGACTTGATGAGTGTGATTATTGAATACCAGGACTGACTTTGAGGGGGGACTTTGGACAAAAGTCGATTGCTTGGGTACCTCTGTCCCATTCGTGTTTCTACCGTGAAGCAGTTGTGTTTGCATAGCTGTGTTTTGGTTTAAAGGGTGGGATATGGCGTGAATTTACAGGGTACAGAGGAATAACATCTGAGTCCTCAGAAATGGCAATATCATGGGCGAAACAGTCTACTCTGTTATGTCCATGATACTGCTCATGTTTATAGGCGACGGTTACCACTTTCCATCAGGTGGTCTGTCAGCTTGTTTGCCATTCTAAGTTATATATAAAAAAAAGTCGATTCTTGGTTAGGCCGAAACTTTTCAATCCATCTGTTGGCGACTAGTCAACGCTAACTCCTTTGCACGTTTGTATATTCATTTTTAAAGATTTACTTTTAGAAAATTGTAATATATAATTTTGATATGTATCTTTTAACATTGTCTTCTTGCTTGACTGCTGTTTAATGCATTTCTCTGCTAAAATCAATGTCTTCGTCATTTATCACCTCATCACAGTTCACCGTTACGTAATACCGTCCTCGTAATAATATAAGTAACAAAAATAGAAGAGATCTCAATCAATGTCCTAATGCTTTTCAAAGACGTTCTAGAAATCTTTTTTCACAATAAAAAAAAACTTTTCCGATTGTTGGAAATTTGTCTCAAAAACTAACTTTATAAACTTTTGGGATATCTGCTTACAATATATGTTGGTAACTACAATTACTACAAAAGAAATCCCAGCCCGTTTCTTCATTTCATTCATCTTGAAATAACTTTGACAGATATATTCTTGAATAATGAGTTGTTTCCGTTTTCGACGACTTCTAAAAAGAACTTTCTGTTCTCAATGTAATATACTTTTTTTTTATTAATAATTCAAATTATTGTTTACGCAATTTAAATGACAAAGAAGCTAACATCTCACCTACGATAGAACGTGGCAACTCTCCCTATATCTATATGAGCATACTATAACGACTATGATAGCGTTTTAGGGACGTCGTTACAATTCAATACAACACGTCAAATTAATATATATTTTTTTAATTTATGTTTAAAAAATAAATAATATGAAACGCTGTTACGCAAAGCGCCGTACGCCCTCCTGAAGATGCACACACACACGTACACACACACACACACACACACACACTCAATCACACACACACACACTCACACACACACACACACACACACGCGCGCGCGCGCACGCGCACACACACACACACACACACACACACACACACACACACACACACACACACACGCACGCACGCACGCACGCACGCACGTACACACACGCAAACACGCACACATATACATTTGTATTCATGAGTATATGGTTGTATTATTCGGAGTGTTTTCTACTCGTATGTATAATATATTATATAAGTATGTATAAAAAAAACATGACAGATAGTGCCATACATTAGTAACATTTGCTTACTAATGTGTGGCAGTTATCTGTCAATTTTCAAAAACAATTCAACAATTCCAATGTTTCCGATAGATAATTTAAAAAGTGTTCTGCTAACGAACTCAAACGTTAATCACCAAATATATTGCATATAAACGCTAAAACTGCATATTTTGTTTCGCAATTTTCCAAATACATTTTTACCGTTAAAATTCAAATTTTCAGTGACAGCTTAATAAGAGTACGATTAATGTTTTAGTTTGCTAGCAGGGCTTCTTTTAAATAATCAGTCACGAACGTTGAAAATTGTTAAATTGTTTTTGGAAATGACAGATAATCGGGGTATTGCCACACTTCAATAAGCTAATGAACGCTCTTTATTATGTCTATCAGTTGTATAATATTTATCGTACAAGCCCTGCTTAGTTTGGGGTTAAATGGTGCTGTACATCAAATGATGTCTATTTTTTAAGTCATCTTTTTACTGTCCGACTCAACCCACTAAAACTGCCTAGAGATGTTGCATCTCTGTGCATCTTCTACCGAATTTATCATGGGGAATGCTCTGAGTAATTATTCGGATTGATAACCACTGCTGACTTTCACCACCATACAATCCACCTTAAACTAAAGTTTCATCCCCAACCATCTGGACGAGTGGCGGTCTTCCACGGTACGTTTTTCAAGGCACTTTCTTTCACGCACAACCACTATTTGGAATCAACTTCCAGCAGCAGTATTTCCGAACCGATACTACATTATAACCTTCAAGAAAAGAGCATATTCCTTTTTAAAAGGCCAGCACCACACCTGCAATGCCTTTGGTGTTGTGGGTGATCATGGGCGGCGGTAGTCACTTACCATCAGTAGTCAATTACCATTTAATATTTATTAAATATAATGATAAATTTTTCAATACACAGAAAAAATAATAAACATGTGAATAAAAGTCATTCATGTAAATATATACATAACATGTATCTACATTAACTATTTTATTTGATATTTTCTTTTTAGCATATTTCGTTTGCTGACATCTTGTCGTGTTATCATTTCATTTCGTATCTTTAATTAACTTAAATGTCGAAATATCTTAAGAGCTCTATTAAGTACATCGAAATGAAAGTGTACTCAAAGAAGACAAAATTAAACAATAATGAACCGTCTCACAAACGAGAATCTTCAAAGAAAATACTTTATTTAGTACTAACGTACTTGAGTATTATTTTTTTTTCTTAATACTGTTCTTTGTAACAGTCCTTTTCTCGAGTAGTGTTTGCAAAACAAGATCTTTGAACACAGAAAAATATTGTCTGTACTTTGTTCAAAAGGATAGAGGTATCCGAGTTGTTTAAAAATAAAATAAAAAAAAAAACTCGCATGATTGTGGTCTCTTACAGATAAAGCCAAGCTTATACTTTATATTCGTCTCAAGTCTAGCCAAATGATTACGGGTATTTCAAATATTTACAGATTCTTTGGAATAAAAACATCAATAAAAGTAAGTTAAGTAGTTGAAGGTTGTTTTATACAGAATATATTGGAATTTACAACTTTTTTATTGCAAACAACTTATGTCCAAATTCCCAACACAGCGTAGGGTTCATAAAAAATAAATTATTCGCAAATTTATTTACTTTATAAATGTGTCTGTGAAAATAAAAATCAAAATAATTTCACGCTCAGGCTTTGGAATGAGCTGCGTGTTGAGGTTTTTTCTAAAAACTACAATATTTTATTTACGCGCACGTTTAAACCCCCGGTGTTATAGGCGTACATAAGCTACAATGACTGTTTATCATCAAAATGGCTGTATGCTTGTTTGCTACCTTCATGGTATTTAAAATAAAAATAATTTAAGAATTATAATGAATTAAATAAAAAACAAAATAAAAATAAAGAATTATTTATTAAGTAAAACTATAATACTGCAACAATAATACATATACAAAAATATTTGAGCGACGACATAGGGTTATCACATTGGTAGACAAGCGGTCCTCCTCCGTTTCACACTGATTGATAGGTAGAAAAATAAATAAGCGTTTTAGCTTTAACAGGCAAATTTTTGATACTTTATATATTATATATCATTCTAATTTTCGAAGGGATCTTAATTTATTTTAAAATAATATATAGCCGTTGATTATATAGCTTTGTATAGATGGAAGAATTTTTTAAATCGATCGAGTGGTTTTTGAATTTATACATTATAAATAAACAAACATACAAAAAATCAAATCTGCCCTCTATAATATTAGTGTCATATCATATCAGCCATTACCTGTCCACTGCTGCATATAGACGTCCTCCATTGAACCACCTGCATCGACTGAGTTCTTGTAATGCATTTGAGATCGTTATGCCATCTAACGGAGAGGTCGTACTACACTGCGTTTGCGCGTACGGGATCGCTACTCGAGAAACTTTCTTCCTTATTAGTTGTCAGTTCCTTGAGCTATGTGACTTGCCCATTGCCACTTCAGCTTGGTGATCCTTATCCTACGATCTATTATATAGCTATTATATATTAGTATACACAAAGCGAATAGAAGTTTTAGAGTACATTTTATAATACAAAAGAATCTATTTTACAACCCTAACATTAATACAACAAGTGCCAGCCCGACGTATAAATGGCCAGTGCATTGTCACGCACTAATATTGCTGGACGGGCGTAATGTACCCGACGTTCGCAATCATGCTCTTGTATTAACGTTATAAATTAGGACGTTAACGTCTGCTAACACTCAAATAACCGTAAACCGTCGGTAGTGGTCATTCTGGGCACTTGTGGCCACTACGACTTATACGCATGGCCCGCGGTGTATTTCGTTTCTCTTTTATATGGAAAAAGGGATAAATTATTCAAATAGCTACGTTCATATATATTTTTTATCTGAAACGAAAATTTTAATAACTACAATGCTTTTTACATTATAACAGGTTATTTATAAAATTCGATTCTCTTTCAATATCTAAAATAGCTTTTTTGTTATTTTTACAATAAATTAAAAGATTCACGTTATCTATAATTTCGTATCATAAAACTTTTGATATATCGCATAAAAGGTGAACTGAGTTCAATAAGCTTGGAAACGTTAAATGGTACAAGCAAATTTTGTTGAAAGGGAAATCTTATATTTTTATATATATATATATATATATATATTTTTTTTTCATTTTAAGAAACTTCAAAGATAGCCTTTTTTATTTTACGCCGTTTATTTTTGCTTTTTTTTTTTCAAGTGACTTTAATAAGTCCTCATGGAATCAATAGGCTTTACTCGTGTGAGTTTCATATTAATCATGTCAACTTATGTTTGAAGGTATCCTTCTTTATGCGCTAAAAATCTTAATCCTTACTTGATATTATTAAAGGGTAAGTGCGTTCGTTTATTTGTTTGTTACCTTATAGCGTCTTAACGGCTTAACTAATTACTATGAAATTTGATATACATACTTTATATGGGTTGAAGAAGGTTATTTTTTATTCAGGTCAGTAAATATATCCCGATCACGCGGACAAATTCACAAGTATAAACAAATCTTATATAAATTATTGCAATATTTCTTTACAACTACGAGTATGACTAATTAGCGTAGCAATTTCTAATTAATATAAACATCCCAGAAGAAATAAAATTATTTATGTAGGATTGTTATTTAAAGAAGTGACTATAATAATGGAAATAACGTGAGTTCATAGTCTGTGTCATGAGATAAGAAAATGAATAGATGAGTGTATGACAAATTTAAATACAAGAAAAATTATACCTATTATGACAACATAATCAACAGAGAATAATAATTATAAAATACAACATTTGTGTACTAGTAACGTGGAGAAATATATGTAAGGGTGTAGTTGAAATCATGAGTATCCTTTTTAATTCTACTCAAACTGTAGAATTAAATAAAATACTGCCTACTAGTTGCCACGCTTGGCAACCAGATTGGCAATCCGCAGTCAACCTTTAGAGATGTTTTAAGAGGGACGCTGCTGCCCATCGCTCGCCCTCCCTTAGTCGGCTCTTACGACACCCACGGAATAGGTAGAAATGGCCTATTGTATTCCGGGACCACACAGACACCACACATGGGAAATAATTAAGAAAAATTTATATTAGGCATCTTAATAAGACCAATAGATACCAAAAACTATAATTTCAAGAAATTTGTCTGTCATTATGTTTATTCCGGCATCATGACAAAACTACTTCATCAAATTAATTCCGATTTCACTGTTGTATTCCTGAAAGTGTAACTTAAAATCTAATGTAGGTACATTTCATCTTGATACACTATCTAGAATAGGTTTATTTTACTAGTTTTCCTACTTCTGAAATTTATCCATACGAAATAAGGGGCAAAAAGCTTGTATTAAAATATAAATAGATAGCATGAAGTGCAGACCTCATTCCGTTATTTAAAAAAAAACGTAAGTTTTTTTTTTAATATTATCATTATAAAAAAATTACCACAGTCTTTATAATAAATTTTAGCTTTGACAAAAGCATGCAAATACAACAAAAGTAATGGAAAACAAACCAAAAATTACCTTGATATTCGATTACGGAATATGTTTTAAAGTTGCATCGCGTGTCCAGACTCCGAGAATCCCATGTAGCTTTACAGATTGGATTCCTATTTTGTTCTATTCAATAACTATTTACTTATATTGCTATTTGCCAACATATAATATGTAGCACACGTTGAAAACAGACTCGTATTAGAACTGAATGTAAGCGTAGTACTAATGGTATTGAGTCTACGTGGCCCTACTATCTGTCGTGCGATCAAATATATATATATATATATATATATATATATATATATATATATATATATATATATATATATATATATATATATATATATATACATTATTTAAATTCACTACTTTATTACTAATATCATAAAATTGTAAATAGATGATTTACTTATAGTAGATATTTAAAAAATGACTATTGCATCTATTGTTCATATTAAGACCCGTTATGGTGTTCATGAGAGTAATAAATGCTATAACAATATATTTTATTTAATTTTATCTGACTGTACTTTTGTTCCAACTTCACGCAAAAACTAGTGCACTGATTTAGATTCGATTTTCACTATTGTATTGTTGAAGGCATAATTTAAAATCTGATATATGTTTTACCTTAATATCCCATCGAGAAATGGTTAAAATTTTTGGTTTTCCTATTTCTAAAATTCACGCGGACGAGGTAGCGTACAAAAAGATATTAATGTGTATTAATAAATATATAATATGCAAAAAATGTTATAAAGCTTGTTTATATGATAGTATTTAAAATACTTTTATTTACTTTTACTGTTATTGTTGTTTTAATATCAGCAGAAAACAAGCGATAAGCATTTTTAAAGTGAGAAATTATAGATGAAAGCTACGCAGTATCTTTGAATAAATAAAACATGCTGACATAACATAAATGCTACGTATATAGGAATATTTATATACATATATTCATTTCATAGGCAATGTTGTAATATCATACAGCTGAATTTGTTATTAACAGATCATCTATTGTAACAAAAAAACTATTTACTGATATAGGCGTGTTAATAAATAATAATTGTTGTTAAATATTAATAATTAAAAATATTTCAGACTAACAACCGGGCCCGGCTTCACACGGATACCTACATAGAATTTTTGTAAATAATGTATAGCCTATATTACTCTCTGTTAATATAATTTTATATTATATATATGTGGAAGGATTTTTATAATTTTTCAATTTACCTATTACAAACAAACAATTAAATCTTTTCTCGTCATTATATTAGTATAAATGACATAAAAGTAACAAACAGCGTCTAATCACGTGATGTAGTACCAAGAAAAAGATATTTCTGGCGCCTTATTTCTAAGAATTATTTGCTAGTAATCAAGTGTTTATGTACGTTTATTAAGTCATGTACACTAATTTGTACCGCAAATATTTTATACCTAACATGTTTTCCTTATAGAGTCATACAAATTAAGTGTAAATATTAAGTATTTATTTAAAAAAAAAGATTTATCGACTGTTACCCTCACGATAAAAGATTACCTGAATACGTGAATTTGACCTGAGCGTTTTGATGTAGCAGAAGAGATATTAGCAACATTAGAGAGATGTAGTAGATACTTTTTAGTAATTCAAATATTTTGTAAAAGAGACATATAAATAACATTTTCGATTACCTCGTATTTGATGAAGTAAATTATACTTATTATATATCCTATTATCATTACAAATGGAAAGGTTTGTAACGATGATTTTAACGAATTGATCTTTGTAACTCTTTCACGCGAAAACTAGTGAACGGATTTGAATGTTTTACACAAGTAACTTATATCCTAACTTAATACATAGGTTACTTTATATACTGTTTTACGTAGTTAAAACTACGGGATAGAGTTAGTATATAATATAATTTCATCATATCACAATTAATCAGCATTCTAATATTATAATATTTCCATCAGTGTATTTAGAATCCTTATTTTCCACAATAATATGGATGTTGAATGAAAATCCGCTTAATTATCTACCAAATAGGAGCCAAAATCTTAGTTCGTGGAATATCTGTAATTCACAGCTAGTTGTACTCACTCATATCTTCGAATCTAGAAGCAGTCGAATGGAACTGGCTCGATATCGTTTGGTAGGGCCCGTGGCCAGACATCTCGAGAAAGCATCAGCCACCGCTACCGACGACGTGATGCATACTTATTGCTCGATTTTCCGCAGAGCAGTTTCAATTGTACCATCCCATTAGCGGTGTGCGATTGCCTTCGTTTCAATATATAGAAATACATTAAACCAACCTTCAACCGACTTTAAAAAAAATCTATATCTATGTTTTTATCTTCGCAAATTCTGAACCATCATCGAAGGTTCTGATCTTTTAATCTAAAGGGTTTATGGGTTTATAATAATTTTGTTAAGATTAAAACATGTTATGAGTTATCTTCGGTCTTAATTTGTAGTTCTAAATCAATAATATTGATGATTCTTATTAAGACTAAAACAGAAAAAAAAAATATTTTGTTTAACGAAAGAGTTTATTCCCATGTTGGTTTCATAATTACTTTATCAAGACTAAAATACTTTATACAATATCTTCATTTTAAATTCGTAATTCTTAAAAAGAATCAATACTACAGAAATACTGATTCTATTTTGATTCGAAAGAGGTTACTACCGTGAAGTTTCATAATTAGTATGTTATGGAAAATCTTAGTTCTAAATTCGTAGTTCTAAATCTCTAATATAGACGATTCTTTTTTTAATTGAAAGAGTTTATTGTCGTATTAGTTTTAAAATAATTTTATTAAGATTAAATAGGTTTTTGTGATATAATCTGCTATTTGGATGTTATGTATAAAAGATAAACATGCCTATTAGTCAGAAACATACCATTATTTATATCCCACACTAACGCACTTCTCCCTTTTGTACTGTGACTGCATATACACATAAACACATATGTCTTCAAAAATACAGTAATTATAATCACTCAAAGACAGTTCGTTATATCGTAAAATAAATATTATAATACCTGTAGTATCCAAACAGGGCGGATATGTCCTTAATTGAAAGCAACCAGTCATCGCTGCAAAGAGAAATTAGATGCGCAAATATTTATTTCAATTAACGATCCCCTCCAAGAAACCCTTCTAAAAGTGTGCGATTGACACGGAAAGAAGGCTGGTGACATTGGAGAAAAAGGGTTGTTTTCTTAGACATCTGATTGAGTGGGTACTCAGCTACTTAACCCTTTAAAGCCGTCTCTAATTAACACCTTAAGCGACTCTAATTGAGTATTTATTCGTGTTAAGAAGTGTAAAATTAGAAGGGTTTTATGTGACTTTGCGTCTCTTATTTCTATTTGTAGATTGTATATAAAATAAAATATCAAAAAGATTTTATACTTATTAATAAGACTTTAAAATAAGGCTTATTCGAAAATTGAAAATGTTTCATTTTTTATTCCAATAGAAATTTTCTATTTAATATTATTTATTTATTATTGCATTCTATAATGTGATTAGTAGATAAGATTTCACCTTCAATTATGAACCGTGTTGGGCACAGCAAATAGGAGAGAGGAGGACAGCCCTTTTTTTCACTTTAGTAAATAATTTAAGAGTTTGTTACAATATTATTTAGTTACTAAAATTGTTTACCATTTATTAATTAATAACATTTAAAGACTTCTTAAAAAATTTTTATACAACTTAGAATGGTAAACAAGCTGACGGCCCACCTGATGAAAAGTGGTAACCGTTGCCTATAGACATGAGCAGTACTATGGACATAACAGAGTTTACTGTTTCACCCATGATACCCCCTTGCGTTGCCATTCCTGAGGACTCAGGTGTTATTCCTCTGTACACTTTTTCTCTAAACACAGCCATGCAAACACAACTGCTTCACGGTAAAAACACGAATGGAACAGAGGTACCCAAGCAATCGACTTTTGTACATAGTCTCCCTCTGGTAAAAATATTGTTATTTTCTTCATTTTTTTGTGATTCTGGCAATTTGTTATATATTTTTATTAATGACACATACATATACGCGGCATACATAACCAGCAAAGGTGATGGAAGGAGCAGTCTATCTCTGTCTTAAGTTATATTAAAAATATCATTGATATTATTTATTATTATAAAAGTATCTACATAGTGTGTGCAGATTAATTATATCTACCATAGAAAATTTGTTCCAACTAATAATAATTTGCTATTCGAATTATGAAATAGTCCTATTTCCATTTCAACATTTCACCTGTAGAAAAATAAAGATTTACATAATTGACTGAGAGTAATTTTTCAACCGACTTCAAAAAATATGTTTATTACCTCGTGATTCTGTCAGTTGTAAACCGATTTGGAATTTTTTTTTCTAGTACCTACATCCTTTCATATTTACAGATTAATCCCATAGAAATTTTATCAGAATTAGTTCAGTAGTTTGGCTTTTAGATCAAAATAACTGGTTTTGCCACAATTGAAGACGGTTTTTTTGGGGGGGGACCAACCTTTAACTATTTATAACCTAATGTAGGCTTTGTAATCTGGAGTAAGTTCTTAATAATGTAAATATAAATATATATTTATTTCTCTCACAAAATAACAACATAATAAAATTTACAGCTATATAAGTTACAATTTAAAACAATCTTTGTGAAAGACTGGTGTCGGTACTAAGATAACCCCTCTTAAAGATTACCAGAGAGAGAGATAAAAGAGAGAGAGAGAGAGATAAAAGAGAGAGAGAGAAAAGAGAGAAAGAGAAAAAAAAAGAGAGAGAGAATATTGTTAATAATTGGTCTGACAACCCATTATTAACAATATTCTCTGTCGATTTAACCATCGTACACTTCCCATACAAACCATAATGATTAATTAATAGTGTAACACCCACGTTTGATTAATTTGCTTTACTTCATCTTCACCTATCATCTCACAGCGTAAACTACCGCCACAACCCATTCTGATTTATAAATAAAAAATGTGGGATGTTTTTTTTTCTGATTTATAAACCTTTATAATTATTACAGATGACAATATTATTATTCATATCAGCCGTTAACTGTTCGTTGCTGAACATAGACCTTCTCCATAAGGGGGATTTTGCTAGGAGTTGCCACTTTTGGCAGGTGGGTTGGCAACCGCAGTTAGTCTTTTGGTGTTGTTTTAAGAATGACGCTGCTGC